GCTACTCAACTATATTTAGCATATATAATATTGTTTTAAAAATTTCTTTTCGATATTAGCTAGGTATAGAAGTGTAGACAGGCTAGCATTTAACTTGTTGTATGCTTTTTGCACCCAAAAGATGTTGTTTCTTTCGCAATGTATATCTATTAATATACAAATAAATAAAGAAATGATGTTTACCTACTGAAAAAAAAAAAAAAAAAGTATAACATATACTATATCTCTTTACTAGGAAAAGTTAAATGCAAGGCTTCATAGATATGATCCATTCTCTGTATTTTTTGAAAATACTCAAGAATATAGAAAAAAAAATTTCAAAATCTATATTATGTCTTGAATAGTATCTAGCTACCTAGAGAAAAACAATTAACTAATCATATAAAGGTACTGTTGTTACTGTATACAGGTTTGCCTCCAAGTTATAATTAGGATTGGTATACTTGCTTTTCAAATGTGACTTAATATATAACAAGTGGAGTAAGTATTGATTTTATACTATACTAAACTCAAACTACACCAAAGTAAAACCAGTCTTTCACTATTTGTACCTAACATTAATCTTTCATTTTAACCTATCACTAGAACTAAAATCTGGAAGGCGGTAACTGTTTTCACTATCAAAACCTTCCTAACACAAAATTAACATTTCACCAACTACATTTAGCATTGACCTCCGATTTGAACCTATTACTAGGACTATAGGCTAAAGAACAGCAATTAATCTTACTGTTAAAGTAGCTTCAGAAAGTGTATTTTAAATTTAAAGTAAATTGAAACTGGAGAGTGTAGTAGGAGTTTGGATATGAGATAATGGTTTGTTAAGAAAAATGTTGAATATATTAAGTTTGGTATTTCTTAAAAGTGTTAATATCTAACCTTGTACAATAAGTTTATATTGTCAAAGGGGTAAGTGAAAAACTTTTGTTGTCATTACCAGCTTGTATTATGAAGTAACTAGAATCTCTGGTCTTCATATATTATCCTATTAGATTTTTCCAATCACCAGCATGACATCTGCAAACTAACCTAGTTTATTGTTAGCTACATTGGCATTGGTTATTATATCTTTTTAAATACAGTAGGCACAACCTCTTGAATACTTTTGAATAATAATAGTTATATATCAGTTTCTTAAATGTATCTAGTCAAACTATTAACAAGTAAACAATACCAGATTTAATAATGATAATTATATTAATCTTTTGAAGAGTAAACAATTTGTTTTTTTTCTGTAAGACTATAGAAGAGAAAAAAATTCCAAAGTTTATGTTTTGAGAAAAGTTACCACTTTTGAATATGATCTTGAGAAAAAGGAGTCAACTAATCAGGGAGTTGATATTATGGAAAGCAGGTTTATAAAAGAAAGAGAGGTTTAAAAAAAAAATCTTTAGGAAAAAAGGAAAACCTAACCTTGGCAGGAAAGGAGAAAAAGGAAGGTAAAGGGGTAAAGTATATAAAAAAGTATATAAAAAGAAGAAGTGAAAATAAGAAAGAGAAATAAAAAGATATAGAAAAAAAAAAGTAAAAAAGAAGGGAAAGGAGAAAACAAAAGAAAAAAAAAAGTAAACAACTCAAAAATTTCCTAAAAAAGAAATTTTTAAGTATAAAAAGAAAGTAGAAAAAGGTTTTTTAATTTTATTATTATTATTATTATTTGAATAGTATTAAATATAAAAGATTTTTATTAAACTTTTATTTATTATCAATTATAAAGTAAATTAATTTTAACTTATCAAAAAATAAAAGTTAATATATGTAAACCTTTAAAAACTCAAGTAAAGTAAAAGAAAAAAAAGATAAATAATTACTAGTTACTAGTTAAATTATTAACTATATATTATACATATTGCTAAAATTCATAGATTCTTAATGCAATTGATGCAATTATTTGATGCAATTATTTGATGCAATTATTTGAGTCACTATTAGGGTTTCAAAAAAGTACCAAACTGGTATCGAATTGGTATCAAAATAGTACCGATCTATAGTAAATTTAATATATGGATTGTGACCTACTCATATGTTTTTATAGTAAATTTAAGTATCAAAGTGGTACCGAAGTGATATCATTAGAAGCTCTAGTCACTATTAAAACATATAAATAATTGAGTCATGATATAATTATTTTTGAGAATTTTGGAAATTGAGTTAACAGCAAAATAATTTATATCACATGTATACTATATATATATACTTTATAGGTATTGATAATGAGAAGAGGATATGATGTTTGAATTTTGAATTGTGATCTGAACTCATATAACTATATAATCAAAAAAAATATAAATAAGGATTATTAATATTGCTTAAATTAATAATCCAGATTATACGTATATGTTTCCTTATTATTATAAAAAAAAGTTTAATCGATAATACGATTCCTAATTACTTACTAATTGTTACTTAGTAATACGAATATAATACGGTTTTTAAAAAATGTCTGAATTAAATACAAATACATGTATAATTCAGATATTAATGTAATATAATTAACTTATACAATCTTTGATGAAAGTAAGCTATTTATAATTTTTTTGTTTTGAAATTTGAAAACTGAATAAAACAAGAAAGCAGTTCCATGGTTATTTCTTTTAAATAATAATAAAGTAATAATTATATCAAGTATCTAAAATAGAATGGTTAATAATTACATGCTTTTGACACACTGGTTAGTAATCTAGGTCCTTAGCAAAGCAAATTTTTATGCAATTAGTATTACTAGTCAAATTGCTATTTTTAACAGCCTCTGCTTTCTTAGATTATATTATTATTATTATTTTAAATAATTATTTTTAATTAAAAATTTTATGTTATATATTAATTTTATGACTTGATTTTTATAAAATTTGAATTTTTTTATATGTTTTTATATGTTTTTTTATAATAAATAATATAAAATTAATATATTTTTTAAAACATGACATTAGAAAAAAAATATATAATATTTAGATAATATTATTAATTAATATAAAATTATAAAAGATTTATATTTAATTTTTTTATATTTTTTAAGTTAATATTTATTAAATAAGAATATAATTTTTAATTTTTTAAAAAATTTTAAATACCACTGTAAAATGTTTTTTAAAAAAATAATTTGTTTTAATTAAAAAATTAAAAAATTAATTTGAAATTTGATAATAGTTATTTTTAACTACTGTATATATTTATTAAATTAAAAATTTTAAAATTAATTTTATAAAATAAAAAATAAAAATATTTTATAACTTTTTAATCAATTAAATAACTTTTTTAAAAATAATTTTTTTAAAGTTAAATTTTAATTTAATTATTATTACTATTAATTAATTATTTATTTATTTTATACTAGAAGTATACAAGTAATTCTTTATTTATTTTATACTAGAAGTATACAAGTAATTCTTTATTTATTTTATATAAGTACAGTATATATATAAATAAGTTGTAAAACCAATATGTATTCTATATGGGTAATTATTTTTGAAGACGACAAAAATGCTAGATATGATTTTTTCGGATCCAGCTTTTAAACAATGCATATATAATATAAATTTTAGGATCACACCAGAAAATTTCCGGTTCACCTTCGAAAATAATTACCCATATTAAGAAAAAAAAATAAGTATATATATACTGTAAATATACAATAGTTATGTAACATCTCTTATATAATAAAAAATACCAGCAAGTTAAATACCTAACTAATATTACTTACTATTTAAATCTGGAGTTATTGATTATCCAATTATATAAAAATATATATACGTTATAACCCGGGTAAAAATCATACGATCTACGCTACCTGTTGAATTCCCGCGATACCATCGAAGAATCAACGTAAACGAATGCGACATGATAAAAACTGGCACAAGCAAGAAGAATCAGACTTAAGTTAAATCGCGACACATATTGATAATTGCCACGTGACTGGGATATGCAATCGATCTATTGAATTATGTAATAAAACGAAATGTGAAAATTACATAACAATCGCTTCGTTATAAGATTTTAGTAGCTTTAGCTTAAATTAGTATTTATCATTTTTATTACGTAATTGATATGTAAAAAGTATAAAAAAGAAATCCGCCTCTAATCGTTACGCGAATCTTAGCTAGCGATAGACTCGCCAATCACCGTTACAACGTATATAAATTTATATATCAATTATAAATAGAACAATAATTTTATTATATAAAGTATTTTTAATAAAATTAAATTTAAAAATTTTAAAAAATTACAAACGGATTTATTTAAATTTTATATATAATAGAAAAAGAATCTGGGAATTAGAATATTACGTGATGCCAAGACTTAAAAAAAAACCTATACTTACTAAATATTTTACCGGTAATGAATTCTAGAGAGACCAATACACTCTTAGTAACGAGCCCGCTTCCAGTAAAGACCAAGAGACCGAGAGACCGAAAGACCGAGAGACCGAAAGACCAAGAGACCGAGAGACCTAATACACTCCCCCGGTGCTAAGATACCGAAATACCCAGTACTTTCTTACTAGCAAACCCTAACTCTTTGACTGTTATAAGGAAGGTACATAACAGGTACATACTGAATCCTCCTCCGAAATCAGTAGACCTTATACAGGTGTAATTCAAAGAGTTTAAAAAGACGTGCCCTTCGGATTTATTAGGAATTACAGCACTTAGCAATGCCGAGATCATCGATGCCTGCGCAAGTCCGCTTCTAGTAAAGACCGAGAGACCGAGAGACCTAATACACTCACCCGGTGCTAAGAGACCGAAATAAATCTCAGCACTTAGCAATGCCGAGGTCATCGATGCCTGCACGAGTCCGCTTCTAGTAAAGACCAAGAGACCGAGAGACCTAATATACTCTTAACAACGAGCCGCTTCCAGTAAAGACCAAGGGGTCGAGAGACCTAATACACTCTTAGCAACGAGCCCGCTGAAGACAAGAGACAGAGAGACCAATACACTCTTAGTAACGAGCCTGCTTCCAGTAAAGACCGAGAGACCGAGAGACCTAATACACTCTTAGTAACGAGCCCGCTTCCAGTAGAGACCAAGAGACCGAAAGACCTCTTAGCAACGAGCCTGCTTCAAGTAAAGACCGAGAGACCTAATACACCTCACCCGGTGCTAAGAGACTAAGCACTTAACAATGCCGAGATCATCGATGCCTGCGCGAGTCCGCTTCCAGTAAAGATCAAGGAGCCGAGAGACCTAATACACTCTTAGCAACGAGCCCGCTGAAGACAAGAGACAGAGTGACCAATACACTCTTAGTAACGAGCCTGCTTCCAGAAAGGACCAAGAGACCGAGAGACCTACGAACCCGCTTCCAGTAAAGACCAAGAGACCGAAAGACCTCTTAGTAACGAGCCCGCTTCCAGTAAAGACCGAGAGACCTAATACACCTCACCCGGTGCTAAGAGACTAAGCACTTAACAATGCCGAGATCATCGATG